TCCAGATTCAGAGGGATCTTGTCTCAAAAACGAAAGTGAAGGTCCAAAAGGGAGGACAGCTGGCATCAACTCTGGCCTCCACTCACAGGGCCACATACAAGCATACATGCACACACACAGACACACCCACACCCACAGACACACCACACAGACACACCCACACCCACAGACACACCCACCCCCACACACACACACACTCACACATACAGAGTCTCAGACATAAGTGATTTAACAAACAAAAGAAGTATTTCAAAGTTAATTAATCTCAAGCAGAACTGAGAAAGGGAAAGGAAGAACTCCACAGACACACTGGAAATCAGAGTGTCAGCTTCTAGCACACATATTTTTTTTCTGTCACATTCCCACCTGGAAATCAAGGGAAAACCAAAGTTTTACAGTTTATATGCTAAAAGATATTTTAAAATGTAATCAGATACTATTTCAAACTGAATAGTAAAATACAGTGAAACTATTTTTAAGATTTATTTTTGATGCTGAAGAGCAAAAATATGTATCTCATTTCTATGTATTTCCTTAAAAGTCCATGGCAACGTCTAATAATTCACTATACAGAATTTTGCATACATGCTAAAGTATACTGAAATCAAAATGGAAGCTACCTGGAACATAAGTCTGTTTGCCTGTTACCTTAAAAGATTTTCAGATCAACACAATAGCGATAGGAAATATGATGCCACACATTTCTCAGAGTGACCGGGAAAAGGGAATGTTTGTAAACAAACAATTTTGCAATTTTTCCAAAACCTGTGTAACCTACATAGTGACAGGTAGTCAGAAGATGTTATGTCTTTGACGATATTATGATCTACCTAGTAAGTTCCAGAGCAACCAGACATGAAAAATGAGAAGCTGTCCAAAAAAAAAAAAAAAAAAAGCATTTTCTGTCTCTTTTCAATGATACACATTAATAAAAATGTCCTATTTGGTAGATAACATCATATACGTGTGATAAATTTGTCTCAAATGATACTATTCTAGGAAGAAATGATTCATTGTTAGAAACATTGCAATAAAATTACTTTGCTTTCTCTCTTTTTATTATAACTTTAATTTAACACTGAGGCTACGATATATGCCCTTTACCAGTGGGCTAACTTCTAGACACCCAATCATTCTGTTTCTCACAAGCAAAATTTACAAACTGCATTATGATAGCACACATCTAGAATCTCAAAATTTGGGATGTGGAGGCAGGTCCATCAAGAATTTAGAACCAGACTCAGCTACCTATTGGATTAGAAGCTATCGTGGTATACCTGAGACCTCCTCTCAGAAGACAAACAAAAATTAGAAATCACTAAACCTATTACAATTTAAATATAATAAAGGTGGGATTTTTTTTTCAAATTTGGCTTTAGAAATAGATGCCACCATACCAATATCTATGACCAAAGGTGTAATTCTACTGTATTTTTCCAGTGAATATATCAACTTCTCACCTTTTGGCAAATTATCATAAATCAAAATACAATTCATATAGTTAAAAATCACAGCATTTCATCTTAAAGTGTGAGCTTTTCAGAAATGCCACGCAGCCTCTTTTATTCCCATACAGAAAACAACTTGGTTTTAAGGTTAAAGAGGTGGAATAGATCAGAGAAAGGAATTTCTGAACTTCTTGAACTTCATATTATGAGCAATATGATTAGAAAACATGATTGAGAACATAAATGCTGCCTAACACCATAGTAAATCTCCAAGTGTTTCGTGTGCACCCTGGGAGTGCTTCCAACTCACAAGTCAGGAGCATGAAGTAAAGCAACTTCCGATTGTCATTAGAGAACACTTAGACTTTCTTAAACTTGGCATTATGCAAGCACTTCCACCCACCAAAAGATATCAACTGGATATGATCTCCCAAACCCTGACGAGAGAGGAGCTGCTTGTTCTTTCTGGGCTCAGTCCCTTCAAAGCAATGGAGTTTGCATTATGGAAAGGGGAGTTGGGAGGGTAGGGAGGTAACCCCTGGCCCTGTGTCAGTCAAGGAATACACTAAAAAGGAGGTGGGTGAGATAAAGAAACTGATACACAGATCACTCAGTCTAAATATTAAAATAGAGATTTCTCCTGATGTACTTGTATTGACTTTTTTAAAGTGTGCTTTCAATGTTTTCTACTTTTCCTATTACAAGAGGAATATCCTTAAAGCTATATACATTTTACTGGGAGATTAGACACATAGTAAGCATAGTCATGTTGCAGGCTATGATAAAGCAGATGTTTTAAGAAGCAAAACATGATTATGTAAATGCCGTAATCCCAAGATAGACAGACTGAGTTCTTAAGACCCTAAGCCAAATGGATATTGTCTGCAGTGACCTCAGAAGTAGTATTGGATTCTATCAGATCTGAGTCACAATGCCCTGATTACTTTCTTTTTTTTTTTTTTTTTTTTTTTTTTTTTTTTAAAATTTTTTTTTTTTGTTATGTGTGGTACATCTGATAACATCATGTGGAATATCACCTTTGAGTGTAATATCATCAATTAATTAATATAGCTTCATTAAAAATAAACAGTCACATAACAAGAACTTAGAAAGTTTGGTAAAAAAATTCTTGCAAGTCTATCAGACACAGCTTGATAACTGCTAAAACTACTGCTTAACCTTCAAAAGTTGCAGCATAAAAGATCAAGTCAGGGACAGATGTGTTACAACATTTCCATTCTTAAATAACACAGAGCCACAAGGCTACTAACAATAAAACAACAAAAAGACAAGTCATTTAAGAATCTATTTGCTCAAGCAATTAAAATATTGCAAACACATTTAGATAAAGAACTGCAGATATTCTCCCAAGAGAGTGTTGTGTATTATGTAAAGCATGGGCTTTGCTAAATGTTCACGTATATTCTCATTTTGACTACATATTCAAAGCCTGAGTATTGTTTTCCAACAGAGTCATTAATTAGCTGACTATCTTAAACAATCAAATTTTCAACTCCAGTAAAACTTAAAATCTTAAAATCAATCCCATGTTGCTTCCAAGTTCTGGAAAGTATGTGTAGTTAACTGTTTCTATCTGCTTATCTACCTGACAGAGAGAATGGATTGCTTAGATTCTGCTTAAGTATCACAACTCAGTTTCTTAACTCATTCACAAGAGCATGCTGGAAAGCATCTAATTTATATAACAAAACTCATCATTACTACTACCATATCCCCATTTTTCTAGAATGCATACATATTTTTCAAGATAGGGTAAAAATTGGAAATGTCTCCAGAAATAAATGTTAACCTTAACTTCTCAAGTCCAGCATGGATATTTCAGATCCTTAAAATTAGCAACTTGTCCCCATTCCTTGTAATGATACATACCTACATTCAATCATCGAGACATTATGCCACATTAAATGACTTGCTGAGACCTCATGAAAATCCTGCCTGCCACCACATTATTTTAAATGGTACTGCCTTTTAGTAGTTCCTCCTTTGTTTTCCTTTGAACATAGATCTTTTTTAGTATTTTAGTATTTCACATTTTTCAAATGTGAAATCATGACAGCAATGCACACTGACTGTCCTTTCATGATTCCACACAACACAAGGACAAGACAAAAAGAGAGAGAGGGAAGGGGGAAAAAGGGGGCAATATCCCTGTCTGAGAAAGGGAAAGCACTTGTAATGCAAATATGCTTCACATCCTTTCCTATCTATCACAAAACGACCAAGAGAATAAAGGGAAATCAAAACAAAAGGATGCATGTTTCTCTCATTCATGTCTTAAAAATCCATCAGTACACCCTCAAAGACACTTGAGACTTCATCAAAATCCAAAATATTATATTTTACTTTAGCCAGTTTCTTCATTAACTCAGGCAAACATTCATCTCATAAAAATATATTCCACTGGTTGGCCATATAACATGAGGAATTTTGTTCATCACAATGTGTCCAATAAAATTGACTTTAACCACAATGTCACTTAAAGAAGCCAATTAAATGAGACAGAAACATAAAACTTAAAACACAGCCTTGGGAATAACTTTTTTCTTATAGCCCTTTCCAAATCCTTCTTGGGCTGATAACCTAGGCAAGAACCATAGCACAGAGCTCAAGAAAGAGCACAGGCAAACTCTCCAAGGATTATCTAAGAACTCAAAAAAAAAAAAAAATGTAGCTTGGTCTTTCCATTTATTTTATTAGTTTTTCTACTGTGGCAAGTGCTGCCACTTTTCTGCAGTTTATGAGTAACTTTCATAATCATTTCCCACAATTCTTCTTTATAACATCTAAATAATCTTAATTCTATCCTTAAAAGTCCATTTCAGAAACCATGGATTCAGAATATATTCCTTTGGTTTGCAAAACTTCATGCCCCAAATAAAAGGATGAAGTAAAGAATTCTAGGAGATATTTAGAACCTATAATTCTACACAGCAACTGGCCTCTGATAACCGTTTGTCTCAGGGACATCGTTCTGCCTTCCATGTGCATTTGATGGACAATCTGTAGACTCTGCCTGATGGGACCCATAGCTTCTGAAAACTGTAGAGATGAGAGCCATATGCTTCTTTTAAAAAGGTGAGGGGGAGAGGGCAAACCTAGACTTTGCAATGTTAAATTTTGTATAGTGGACCACATTCAGGTCTAATATTCTCTGTATAACCTGCTAGCCACAATGAAAATGAATATGGTAACTTACTGATATATTATAAAAATATTTTGATAATTGTATCTAGAATTTTTATAATTGTGTAAATAATGCAGGGTTCTTAGGTTGAAAACACATGCCATCTGTATCTATTAATTAGTCTATACTTGTCACTTTCCCGTATTAATACTTAATTAAAACTCCCTGGTACTTTCTATCTTTTGGGCACACCCATTTCACAGATCCAAATATGTTTTCCAAATCTTTAGTGAGTTAATAAATCCATTAAGAGAAAACTGTAGCCACAGTAAAGTATCAGGAAGCCTTACGAGATTCACAATCAACCCACCCTTGTCCATTCTCCATCCCATTTCCTACAGTGGCACCTACCCCAGTGTTGTCATGGTGACGATGGTGTACCAGAAGGCTGCTGGGATGCTGGTGAACTTGCTTGCTGATGACCCCTTCTCTGCGTAAAACATAACCGTAGCAAAAATGATGATAGCCATAGTGAGAGAAAAGAGCAGGAAGCCCAATTCTGACGCACAGCTCTTCAGTGTGTACCCCAGGATGCGCAGGCCTTGAGAGTGGCGGGAAAACTTAAAGATCCTGAAGACTCGAAAGACTCGGAGTGTGACAAAGGCTCCACTGACATCCTCATTATCTGTCATGACCAGCCCAATGTAATAGGGCAGGATGGCCACCACGTCGATGATACTCATGACACTGCGCACAAAACGGTACCGGCTGGGTGCTGCGGCTAGGCGGAGTAAGTACTCAACAGTGAAGATCATGACACAGGCGGTATCCAAGCAGAAGAAGGCCACTGCATACCGTTCCCCACAAGGCAGTTCTTTTATGTGGCCTGGGCTAGACCCACATGGAACTGTTTCCACCACATTTGCGATGACCGAGACAGCAATGAAGAACCCAGTCACATAGTAGAACACCAGGGCCATGGTGCTGGTGTGAGGGTTCTCAAAGGCCCGCCAGACCCTCTGCCTAGCAGTCATGGTGGGCAGCGCACTCTCTCCCGTGTTGTCAGTGTCCGCATCATCCTGCAAGCGCTCGGCATTCTCCCGCCTGCGGTCCTTGTACTCCTCATAACAGCAGTCGCCAATAATTTCTGGGATGAGGCCAAAGAAGGCCAATTCTTCATCGTAAGCAGAGATGCACTCATGGCGGGGATAGTGAAGCTTCCCTGTGCGGTAGAAATTGAGGATGTGACGGAAGATGTCCGGGTCACGGTCAAAGAAATACTGTTGGGTCTCTGGGTGGTAGAAAAAGTCTCTCTCAGAACTGCCCAAAAGAGTGTCCGGGTACCGTTCCAGGGTGTCCTGCCATGTCTGGAAGCGGGTGCCACTCACGTTCAGCACAATTAGAGCATCCTGAGTCCTCTTTCTCTCCTGCCTTGGGGGAGCTGGCATAGGCCCCGAGGCAACAGGCATCCACCCAATGGCTGCTGCCCTGGCAAAGGGCAGCCATGCTGCAACACCGGCTGCCATGTTGTCTGGAAGTGTAAGTCACAGAAGTGTTCACTGTCACCCAAAGTAACACAATGAAAGTAACACAATGCCCCACTCCTTCTTCACGTCAAACACAACACTGGGGGACACTGTTCACAGGAACACGGTTATTCCAAGGAGGTGCAGGTGAAATCACAGTTCTCAGAAGGCCAAGTTTCCCTCAGACAAGTATTTGGAATACTAAGAAAAAATTACAGTGACCTAAAAATCTCTCTCCATAGAACCTAAACAAATCTCTGCCAACAGTTGGACCAGGGCACCTCCTGGCACATGTAAGCACACAGGTGACTTGGGAGACAGCCGTTTCTTCAAACAGGTGTCTTCACTTCTCCCCTAGACACAGTCTGCTTGATATGGGGTCAACGGAGAGAGAGCAAGAGGGTGGGGAGGGGGGAAGACAGGAGTCACCCAGTGGTAGTCTCTTAAAAGAAAGAACCTTTTCACCTTCCCTTTCTGCTGAAGTAGTCCTTCCCGCCAAAGGCGCCCGTCTCAAAAAGAGGACCTGTTGTTGTAGCTCCGGAGATGCGGTCACAGCCGCTGTCCCGCGTCCCCGGGAGTCCGCTGGCCGCCTCTACTCCGGAAGGCGCTTGCAGAGATGGAGGTGAAGTACCGGGCTCGCGGCGGGGGGTGTCGGTCTAGAGCTCCTTCTCGCCCACGTCCACAGACACCCTCTGCGCCAGCCCAGAGCGTTCGCCCAGTGGCCCCTTCACTCTCTGCTCAAGTTCAGCTCAGGTGCAGCGTGACAGTTACAGAGCCCCGGAGCTGGCAGCCGCCGCCGCCTTGGCGGCAGCATCATCTGCCTCCGCGCAGAACGCGCCTCGCCCGCGGTACATACCTGGCAAAGTGCGCGCCGCCGGGGCTGAGTTGCATAGAGACTTTGCCTTCGCCTTGCACCC